TGTTTTTTTGCTTGGATCTGCTGGACTTGGGTTGACCATGCGCCGACAGCTGCTGGGGAGATGAATTTGTTCTAGTTGAGACGACGTTCTGTGATCCCTAGTAATAGAAAATGAAGGAACTGGATATTTGTATTTGAAGAAAAACTATAAGACCCCCCAGTAAGCCTCGCCATCTCTCTCAAATCATCGTGAAATGTTGATATGGATTATTATTATTATTATTATTATTATTATTATTATTATTATTATTATTATTATTATTATTATTATTATTATTATTATTATTATTATTATTATTATTTTACAGAGCCATGTTATATTTGAGAGATTACTTCTGTTTTATGTTTAATTAGTAATTGAACGGATAAATTAGATTAATGGTGTGTGGTGTGTTAGACGGGTGATGTGATAGACGCACTGTACTGTCGTATCGTGGTGAACCTTATTATATGTCGCCCTGGATGTTTGACGATTAATCTGATTTGAAAACTTACATTTTTATTATTTTATATAGTCTTTAAATTCCCCCGACTGTTACACTCTGCTGCGCCTCCGACGTGGTCTGTTTGGGGAGTCTCGTTGTATATTTGAATAAGTTTTATTATTTAATAGACTTTAATATACAGAATTTGGATGATAGATTGCTATAAATTTTACGGATTCTTCATAAATTGTGTTCGATAGGTTCGGCGACTTCCGTTACTGTATTAATTTTGTCGTTTGCTGAAAGACGATTAAACAGAATTTCCTAAAGATTGAAGTTGCGTGCACCTTCGACACTTCCCTTCCTTGAATCTTAAGAAATATTGACATATTTGTTGGAACCGAAAGAGATTAAAGAATTATTGGCTAAATATATGTTTTAATACTCCTGCTTTATGTATCGCTGATTAAACGTCTCTGGGGAGCCTTTTGTCTCGGCACAGCTTAAGCTACAACGGTCGACCAAGTATAACTACAAAACATTAAACCAGTTAATGTCTTCGTTCCACATAAGGCGAGCAGCGACGCGGCACAAACTCTCCACCAAGTCTGCCGCCACACACCTCCACTCAGCCTCCCCCACCTCCCCACATAACCCCCCCCTCCACAATCCCCCTCTCAACTCCACCACAACATAGTTTCCCTGGTGGAATTTTGTTGCCAACTCTGTTTTGAGGAAATGAGCAGCCCAGGGAAAACCACCTCTACCACACGCACAGGCTGGCGAGTCATGGGGACCTCCTCTCTCCTACCTTACTTTACACACACACACACACACACACACACACCAACATTGCTTCTGATTCTAAAAAAAAAAATTTATTCTTTAGGTTACGATAGGTTAGGCTACCTTCGTGTTAGGGTAGTTAATCATCACGTGACATAAGCTGGGTGGCTAACCTTCACGTGATCCAAATAATCGTATGTTTAATTGTCCTCCCCAATTTGGCTTGAAAGAAACTACACTGACCCCACCTGAGATGAGGCTAAGGGTGACCGTCGACATATGGATGAAAAATACACCAAATCAACAATAACTGACCCACCAGCTTTTGAGAGTCTAACCTTTATGCCCCAAGTCCAATAAAACCAAAGTCCAACAAGCTCTAACTCAAACAAGTTCTAAGTCCAACAACCCCAAGTCTAACAACTCCCAAGTCTAGCAACTCCCAAGTCTAGCAACCCCCAAGTCCAGCAGCCTCACCATCAACAACTGCACTTACTTGTATTACTCGGCCATATCTCTATACCCCTGCTGCCATTCATTGGACGTCGCATAATAGAATTACCTGCCTTCACTTCAGGTGCACAGTGGACATCAATCGGCGTCGTAGTCATCATTTTCTCTATCATTGTTGAACCTTTGGAGTCTTAAGTTATTTACCGGGTCTTATATTGGTGATCACTTAACTAATTCGTGTTATATTTCTAGTGGAACGTTGTATTTTGGCTTAGTTATGTGTCTTTGTTGTTATCTACGTTACGTCAGATCTCGGTGAAAATCTCGACTGCCTGACGTAGAGATTTTGTTGATGTAACGTATAACCAATTCCTGATTACTGTGGTGTAATATTTTCTATATTAATACAATATAATATTTCTGTAGAGATTAAAGGTTATATTATTTATCTCAATTTCTTTTTATTATTATTATACTTACTATTATAAAATGTTACCTACTCATGGCATTTATTCTTCGTCTTAATTCTAATTTTTTTTTTCACCTGCTGTGCATCTTCCTTCACCACCGTGCCAAGTGTGTTTCCTGCCTCTCCCTGTCTCCTCCCATCATCTCTTTTTCTCCCGTGTCATCCATCTCCCTCCTTCGCTAACTCGCCTTCCTCCTCCCCTCCTTTCTTCTGTCATCATCTGTCACACTTATCTTTATCACCTTTTTACCTTCTTCTTAACCCATCTTCCTGCCTTTTATCATCTCCCGGAAGTCACCCTCTCCTCTCCTCTCCTCTCTCCTCTCTCCTCTCTCCTCTCCTCTCTCCTCTCTCCCCTTCGCTCCCCTCCCCCACCTAGTTTTATCTCCCCTACGTCTCTTCCCTCGAGACGCGGTGATCAGAGGTGAGGGAGAGAAGCTCACTTAACTGGTAACAAGGGAAGAGGAGAGAGATAAAGGGGATGATGAGGGTGAAGATAGTGTGGTGATGGTGATGATGGTTTAGTGATGGTAACGATGATGGTATAATGATGATGATGACTTATATGATATCAATAAAAATTATGTTGATAATGAGTATGATGATGAATAATAATATGAGTATGATGATGATGATGATGATGATGATAGGCGATGGCAGCTGATGTAGGATGATCATGATGTCAGTGGCACTCTCAAAGAAACTCAGAGAGATAATGAGTGCCATAGCAGGTGACAGGACAGCGTGGCGACGGCGGTGATAGATGAGGAGGAGGAGGATGCGTATATGAAAACCACAACAAAAAGAAATAATAAAACTAAGAAGAAGGAGAAAACAGATAAGGAGAAGATGATAATGTTGTCGAGGTAAACAAAAATTCCCCCCAAAATTGGGACACGATTTTTTTTTGGGGGGGGGGAGGGGAGTGGTAGGGGGGAAGGGGGATGGCGGCCAATTTTCCAAGGCATTGATCTGGAATATGTTCGCTAAATAATACGCTTCTTGGCACATTCCTTATACTCTGATTATCATAATACCGCTGCCTTGCCTCTGCCGCGTGCAAAATTGACGGCATAAATTACAAAATTGAAGGGAGGGGAACCTGTGCTAATTGATAAAAAAAATCGCCCAGAAAAGTATTGATGAAGGTTTTTTTTTTGTTGATGTTGGCCTTTCGTGATCAGGTGCGGTGAGTCATGTTCAGGTGAGTAAGACCTACTGTTACGTCTTTATACTGGGAAAAGTGTGGACTGCTTCTTAAGCTGCTGTGTATTATGGTAATGCTGTACAGTTTATGAATAACCATCAACGGTGAGAGTAAGGGGAGAGAGAGAGAGAGAGAGAGAGAGAGAGAGGTGAAACAAATGGACAGACGGAAACGAGTAATAAAGCAGGGATAGAGAAATGAAAGAAGGTAGAAATCGAAGGGAGACAAGCAAACACAAGAGGAGGTAAGATAATGGCAAGAACAGGACAAGTTAGTCTTTTGTTGTTATCTCACTCACGGAAGGAGAAGGGTATATTGCATTTGGTACGTAGTGTGAGTCTGTTTGTATCGTTTTCTTTGTGTAAGCATATCTAGATCTGTCTCTCTTCCTATCTTTCTCAGACAAGTCTTGTAATCTCAATATCGTGGATTGATTGTGTTCAAGCTTCCAGGTACTTGAGGGTGTCGAGACAAAGGTAACATCAGACAAAGGGTTAGTCCACCACTGACCCTACTAAAACTGGTTCATGTTGACCCCACCACCTGTTGAACCCACTGCTGGTTCACGATATCCTCACCACCAATTGACCCCACCATAGGTTAAGGACTTGCAGGACACCCAAGTTAACCTAACCTATCCTAACCTAACCTTAACCACCAGAAAAATAACATATCGATATCACAAGGTTCTCGTATACCGATATGGGAACACTTAAGGTTTGGAGGATACCTAACCTAACCTAACCTAACCTAACCTAACCTAACCTAACCTAACCTAACCTAACCAAACCTAACTAACACCAGGAAATTAACGTTCCAACATCACACCGAGAATACTCTTTTGTTATTGTTTTTATTGTTGCTTCTGCTCGAACACAAAACTAATATTTCGTCCCGTTTATACATCAGTCATTGGGAGAACGCGTAATCGGCTTTGCAGATAATCCCATAGAAATTGACTGTGGCAAATGGAGCAATAGTAGAAAAGCCCTGTATTTGAATAGTCATGAGGTTGGGTGTGTTTGTGGTGGAGGGGTAGAATGGGGGCTCCGCTGGCCACTGTAGCCTCTCGCAACACCTCCTGCCGCGCTGCCGTCACACTTGTAGCTAACAATCCCTGTTGGGGAGAAAATTTTCCTTTTTTTCATTTTTTATGTTTTGGGTATTGGGAATGTGTATTAGGTTAAACTACCGCCGTTTCCTACTACTACTACTATTTTTTTTTTAAATGGCCTCCAGCCTCCCCCAATAGCCACACCTTCGCCACCATTTAATTACCTTAATATTAAATATCCTAATACATAAGTAGCTATCCTATCTGTGTTAAATTAGTTGAGCCGCAGATCTATGCGGCATTCAGCGACAGTAGCCTCATAGTCAATATCTGCAGCAGTTGTCGGAGGTGGGGCAGAAGCTCTCGTTCCCCTGAGGCAGAGTAAAGCCGACCGGAGGAGAGAGAAAGACAGTCGACATCTCATCCAGGCTGTAACATAACTTCTGGGCTGCTGCTTCTGTTCGGAGATCAACTCAGAGGTTGTAAACACTCGAGGAGTGAAGCTGCCTTGATCAACGTTTTGAATTCTCTCCCCATATGCCCTTCTCGGTCAATCAATTTGCATGTAACAGTCTTTAGCCTTACCACTGTGTATTGTATCCTAACTTGTGTTCTTCCTCCCACAGGCAATAGTTTCCGGTGCGACAGGCGTCTAAGTTGGATGTTCGCTCTACGCAACACTACCAGGAGCCTATCTGTACGCAGGAACCTGGACGAGGTAGTCTGTTACATGGACGGCACCACCCTCCCCCCGAGGCTGGCAGACGACGAGACAGTCACCCCAGCCTACGAGACCACCACACTCGGCATCGGTGAGAACTTGGGAGAAATAGCAAGGATGGGAAGGAAGGGAGGGAGGGAGGGAAGGAGGGGGGTGTGATCAAAGCCGTCATGGGAATAGTCTTGAAAGACAACAGGAGGTAATTTTGGTGTCAGAGCTTAAACTCCTGGTCTAGGGACGTTCTCTGGGCTAAGAAATGGTGAGCCGCTAAAGAATTTAAGGTACATTACGAGAAAAGTTTCCCTTAGGATGTGTAATGAGGATGGTACCCACTAGGTGGTCACTGTGAGGTTGTAAAGTGCAGAGATAAAGTATTAGGCATATTCAGTATACGAATCATTGTATGTTAGAACTTAGGGTGAGAGGTTGTGATGATTTATTGTATGTTAGAACTTAGGGTGAGAGGTTGTGATGATTTATTGTATGTTAGAACTTAGGGTGAGAGGTTGTGATGATTTATTGTATGTTAGAACTTAGGAGAGGTTGTGATGATTTATTGTATGTTAGAACTTAGGGTGAGAGGTTGTGATGATTTATTGTATGTTAGAACTTAGGGTGAGAGGTTGTGATGATTTATTGTATGTTAGAACTTAGGGTGAGAGGTTGTGATGATTTATTGTATGTTAGAACTTAGGGTGAGAGGTTGTGATGATTTATTGTATGTTAGAACTTAGGTGAGAGGTTGTGATGATTTATTGTATGTTAGAACTTAGGGAGGTTGTGATGATTTATTGTATGTTAGAACTTAGGGTGAGAGGTTGTGATGATTTATTGTATGCTAGAACTTAGGGTGAGAGGTTGTGATGATTTATTGTATGTTAGAACTTAGGGTGAGAGGTTGTGATGATTTATTGTATGTTAGAACTTAGGGTGAGAGGTTGTGATGATTTATTGTATGTTAGAACTTAGGGTGAGAGGTTGTGATGATTTATTGTATGTTAGAACTTAGGGTGAGAGGTTGTGATGATTTATTGTATGTTAGAACTTAGGGTGAGAGGTTGTGATGATTTATTGTATGTTAGAACTTAGGGTGAGAGGTTGTGATGATTTAAAATCGTACGGACTAGCAGAAATATATAAGTTAAAAAGGAAAGAGCAAAATAATGAAACAAATATGGCAAAGTTCTACAGGTAAGCGTGTTAGTTATACACAAACAGGCATTGCAGTCCATCAAGCAAGAAAAGTATAATGCTATGCCACCAATCCATCAAGCAAGAAAAGTATGATGCTATGCCACCAATCCATCAAGCAAGAAAAGTATGATGCTATGCCACCAATCTGGTAGATTTATACACAAAGTATAAGTTATATAACCAAACATACAACTAATCTTGGTAGACTTAAACATTCAAACATGTTGCAAATATAGAACCAAACATGGTGGAGTCAAACAACAAACAAAACATGGTAAAAGTACACAGACAAATATGTAAGAATTATACAACCAACTATGGTATAATTATTTAAACAACCAAACATGGCAAGAGTTAAACACAACCAAACAGGACAGTTAAACACAACCAAACAGGACAGTTAAACACAACCAAACAGGACAGTTAAACACAACCAAACAGGACAGTTAAACACAACCAAACAGGACAATTAAACACAGTCAAACATGGCAGAATTAGGAGTAAAGGTTGAACCCCGAAACCTCAAAATGAAAATTCCCTCAGTAATATCCTGCCCCGCCCCCACCCCCTAACACATTAACTTGTTATAGGTATTGTTAGTGTTAGCGCTAGATAGACAGCCTAGAACACCTTCCCATGTGTAGCTCACCACTGGCAGCCATGTCCTCTGCTATTGTTTACTCTCCTTAAGATTGATAATTACATTTAGGTTCATCTGTTTCAATGCCTTGGTTTCGATTCTTCCCTCATGATATATCCTAAAGTTGAAGATTTAGCAGTAAATTTTGTAGGTAGTGTGTGTGTGTGTGTGTGTGTGTGTGTGTGTGTAATAATAATTAACTGTTTATTGAAAAAGTTCGGCAGCCCGAAGGCAGAAAATATACATTGAATATAAATGACTTATTACATACATTGACATGGGAGGGTTAACAAAAGCCTTCATGAGAAAGGTAAATGAACATACAGTGAACATACAGATTATTGTTTACAGTGGTGGTGACGTAGGTCTTGTGCACTGAGGTGTTGAACAGCAAACACGTAGTGTAGTAACTCCCTCTCAGATGGTGTTATGAGGGACCACACGTGTTGTAGTAACTCCCTCACAGCTGGTGTTATGAGGGGCCTCACTTGGCGTAGTAATTCTTCACAGATGGTGTGTGTGTGTGGGTGGGCGTGCGTGTGTGTGTGCGCAAGCACACACACACACACATATATATATATATATATATATATATATATATATATATATATATATATATATATATATATATATATATATATATATATATATATATATATATATCCATTCACAGGCCAGTTCCTACACCACAACTAATGGTCACTTCCTACACCACACCTAATGGTCATAACCTGCACCCTATCCACAGGCCTCAGGCCTCGGGCCACACCCTACAACCCATCTCTGTAAGAGTTTCACTACATTGACCGTGATCCAGCCACATACCAAATTACATCAATCTACTTCAGTTTTGAAATGTTTGATCATACACAACTACTCATATGGTATCACTCACTTGTTGACCTCACCTAGTACACTCACTTAATGTCTTTAAGTGCATACAAGTTATAAGTAATTCCGGTGCCGTTATTAACTACTGATGTCATTCTAGGTCCCATGATGAGGCTGCTGGCCCTACATGAGTCAGAGCTCCCCGACCCTATGATGCGGTGGATGCAGACAGCTGACCCAGACTGTGACGAGGAGGAGGCCGCTCAAGTTGACACTGTGTCGGAGGACAAGCAAGACAAAAGGCGTGACCATGGGCACAACAATGGACGTAAGAGAGCTAACCAGAAGAACAAGGCCCAGAATGATATGGCTCCTGTTGAAGCACAACCGAATTCAGACTTAGAAAGCACTGCGGCAGACGCCGAGCCTCCAGCACCCGTCCAGGAGGAGTCTCGTGCCTATGACAGTGGTGCCAAGACCACTGAGGCAACAATCGTCCCACTCGTTGCTCTCTGTCTCATTCTCTTACACGCACGTCCACACTGAACTGTCCTGTAAGACTTATAGGTTATTGAACATTATGAAATCCATGAAATTATATTAAAAATATTGTTATCTTTGACAATTTGTCATATGGCAATATCCAGCAAGTAATATTACACTATCAGGGGTGACCAAATTTTGCATGAAACCATCCTGCAAGGATGACTTGGAGTTTAATTTTACTTAAGGAGCTGTGTAAAATTTTAGGTATATATATATATATATATATATATATATATATATATATATATATATATATATATATATATATATATATATATATATATATATATATATATTAAAAATGCCACTTTGTAAAACAATCCCCCATCTTGGACGTGCCAAAGTATATATTGTTGAAAAGAATATATTATATATCACAAAATGCTTGACAAGATGATACAAATAAGTTTGTGTGGAAGACCCCAATAAGTAGCTGTGTCCCCTGCCTTACCTCCTCAACCTCCAGACCTCAGCTGGTGTTAAAGATGTGCTTCAAACATTAAATCATTGCCAATTCAAATGAACTCTTTTGTACCGTCAAAATACATTGATACAAGAAAGTATACAATAAATTACAGAGGAAAGTAAATCACTGAGATATAATTACTAACTAGGCTAAGATACATTGACTGTAATCTCTATAGTATCTTGAATGTTATATTATAACTGTGTACTGGTACAGTATGTGTACAAATGATTTGCCCGACTTGGCAGTTGGTAAAGAAAAATAATTATTCATTCTTCCTTATATTATTAAATTTTCTTTATTTTTTCCTGATTTTCATTTTTTAACATTTCTTATTGAAGCCTCCCTGTATTTTTTCTTATGTTTTCTCATGCCACAGTTTTTCGTTCTTTGTAAATTGTATCCTCTCTTCATCATCCTCTCCTCTTCATCCAGTCTTTACCCTCCATCCATTATGCCAGTCTTACAAGTGATCAACTGTCTGAGTGACTGTAAATGAAAGAGAGCGAGAGAGCGAGAGAGAGAGAGAGAGAGCAACATGCTTCACCAGTGTGTACATAGCCTTGAGTGTGCGACCGAACTATATTTTCTTACTGAGATGTTACAGTCGGTATACAGTAGTTGCCAGCCTCCTACCCTACACTTTATAGATACATCAATTGTACTAAATAAATTATCTCTGCCTTGAATGACCGCTTCTGGAATTTTATTTTTCGCATTCACGAGGAAGTCCGCTTCTCTAATTGTTTCTCGTTTGATAGTTTGTATCATTGTGGAATGCAGGAGGTCAAAGAACAGTATTCATAGAAAAATAAGTTGGATATTTCAAGCTCTATGTTTTTAATGAACACTTCCTTATTCATGTGTAAATGAAAATGTAGTATCAAGTGGTCAATATGATACACAAAATAAGTGCAAACATTGACATAATGTTGTGTATGTTATATGCATAATTCATTATCTGCAGATCCTAAGATCATCTTTTCCTCAGGTCTTGCAATGTTCACTGCCTTAGTTAACTTATATTGTACAATTATCGTTTTTTCTTCTTTTTTTATGTATTACAAAGGGCAATTTCACCTGAAAAGTGTATAAAACCACTGAAAAGGTTCTGCAGTGGGATCAGCAACTTTTTTTATGATCAGTTTAAACAGCATAATATATGGGAATGGTAAGAGTACTGTAATTTATTGTTTTTTTGTATGTGTTTTTTTTATGTCATGGAAAAAATTATTGTACTATCTGATAACTAGCTTATTGTTTAAAGTTAAGAACAAAAGATTTCTTGCCGTTCCTAAAACGACAAGTACCCGGTAGAAAGAATTAATATTAAGTTGCAAAGCTAATGTTCTTATGTATCTTTTTTTTTTTCAAATGGCTTCTACAATCTGGTAGGTTGCCTTTCCTAGTATGCATATATGACTTCTGAAGTCAACAGTGGGTGACTGGTGTTGTTGTTTTTTGTAAATAGCTGCAACATCTAAATCTAACGGGGAAATTTTATATTGCAAATCACAGAATGTAGATTGACAATACAGTACCACTGCAATTCTAGATTTATGTTAAAATGCACACTAGTTTATTACCCACTGCACAAAATTATGAATTAATTTACTGTGACTCCTCAGAGAATCCTGCAATCTGATTGATAGCTTCTGTTTTACCCCTGCAGGAAGCTTTACTGACGTTATGACAGTACAGTATTCTAATTCTGAGTTTGTTCTTTTTACCCTATTGACTTTATTTTAAAAAATCAAAGTTACTTTATATTAAGTATTGTAACAGACTAAACCTTTGTTGATCTAGTATTTCACAAAACTGTCCTTGTACACTAATTTAATCATGTTTTCATTATTTTTATGTATTAAGTAAAATTCTGACTGTTTTCAGCAGGCGGTTACAGTGTACAGTAGTTTAACTAATGCAATAGTAGATCGTGAGGAACTGCATTTCATGGACAGAGCTGCAATTTGACTCGCTTTTTCCACAAAACGAAAATCGAATAAGCTCACTCCATCACAGTGATTCACTCATAAGGCCTCTTAAATATAACATTGTTAGGAAAATGTGTGAGTTTTTGTAAAAAAAATTATATATATATATATATATATATATATATATATATATATATATATATATATATATATATATATATATATATATATATATATATATATTTATTCTTTTTATGTAACTGTAGTAGCTGCATCTGTGTAAATGCTGTATTGCAATATGGTACAGTAATACTGTACAGGTAATGAGTAAGTGAATATCCTCAATTACTAAAACTCACATATTTAATAGTAATATCGGGTTACATATGAGAGGTAATCAGATAGAGAAAGTACTACAGTCCATAATTTTCTTCAATAGGGTCATGTTTCTGTCAGAGTGGCAGGATTTATGAACCATATTGATAAATGACTTCAGAGTTCTGGTTTTCATTTTATATGTTTATAGAACTAACGATTCGAGTAAACATATTATCCTCTACAGTTTGGTGTACTGTATTGAGTTGTGTTTCACTGGATATGTTTAGTAAATGTGCCAGTAACATGACGCACTGTATAGTTCAATGCCCGATTTTGTAAATTGTATCAATTAGTGACTCACCAGGTGCCTCTCTCACCATTTGACCTCCCTGCACATGAATGGTCGCATTGTAAAAAAATTAAGTATCCACTGATCTCGGAGGAATACAACTAATGTCATACATAACAAGGTTCTGATATGCATCCACTTAGTCGTGTGCAAAATGAGATGAGGAGAAGGCTGCAGTACATTATTAAGTCCTAATTATTTAGATATATTGAAACCAACCCAATGCCATTGATTACGTGCTGGATTTGTTGATAACAAGTAAAACTTTTAAGAACATGACTTATGCTTGTTCTGAATGTGCTGATGTTCTAGAGAGAAGTACTATACACCACTGTACTCTTAAGTTCTGTACATCACTGTACTCTGAAGAAGTGAATTTTCCACTAAATCAAAGATTCCATATTGACAACCAACATACACCTAAACAAAAGAAAAAGGACAAACCATTTTTTTTTATAATTGTCTTGAAGATAACTCTGGTATCTTTTCATATGAACCATGTGTTTTGTTTTTGATAATATGGCCATAAATATTAGTGATTCGTCTCATATTCCACATGTGTGAGATGTTTACCACTCTACTGTACTGGGATATGTGTTAAGGTTATATTGGCCATTTTCAAAAGTACAATTTGGATAATAAACCTTAAAGCATTTCCCCTGCTACTGCTAATGATTCAAATAACCTTTTAGAGGATATATGAAATACGCTGAAACAAACATAAGTAAACAGACAGGATTAAGTAATGCTGCTTGCTTCCACTGACTGCAAAAATCAAGTTAATCTAATCAAAGGAATTATGTAGAATATCTTTACACCCGTTTCCCAGATCATACATCAAGTTAGCTGTTTTAGTATGGATGAAAACACTTGTACCAGATTACTGTTCTATTTTTATGTGCACTCAAAAGAATTGTTTTGTTCTGAAATGGGAATCATAATTATTACTTGGAAGTTAACGAATGATAATAATTATAAATAATTATGGTAGTCTCTGTATATGAAGAAAACTCAGTGTGCATGATCTGGGATACAAGCTGTACTGTTATGATTAATACTAAAACTTTTATATAAAAAGTTCTAAAGACCTCAAAAATATTAGCCATGCATACTACAAAAAATAAAGAGCTTGTTGTTATTTCATACAAAATGTGTCTTCGATACTAGCCAGCCCATGGACTAGTTTTTTGCCTAGTTCCACGGCTTGCTAGTGCTAGTCGTCTGGGCTAGAATGAATGTCTAATAGTGCAGATGTATATGCAGCATATTGGTTATACTGTGTGCAGATCATTTCTCGTTTATTACAATAGTGTCGTGTATAATGTGTCTCCTTCATCCTCACCGTAATACAGTATAATGTTACACCCAGTCTTCCCTGACAGGTAGTCAAGATACTGAAGCATTTGTAGAGTGACACAAGTCTGGGTAAAATCCATAGCCCATACACTCTTTAGTAATTAATTTCTCTTTATGTCTGATTCAGGGACATTGAGAAATTGTCTTAGTTAAGGTAATGATTGTGATCGGTCACCTTATCATCAGTTAATTACTGAATTATTCTCACACTAGTGGTGATATAATTAACCCCAGAATATAGTTATCAGAACTATAGTATACACAGTTATCATGCGTATGATGACATAATGACTGCTTAACTTGAGGTACTGTACCATAAGTGGATTGACCAAATATGGCTTTTTTGCAAATATACTGACAAGAAAGGAAAGAAGGAAGATAGACCAACTGTTTCACCGTCAGTAATAACAGTGATATATTACTGTACACTGGAGGAAGCTGAAAGTAAAATACAATGTATGAAAACTTAAAAAAAATATGAAGTATTAACGTGTGCAAAGTCAAAAGACTACAATGAAAAAATGAATTCAACACCCATAAACTACAGTGACTTTTGTGGTATTTTGCTGGATATAATTACTAACAAAGCCAAGTCATGGTGGTAAGTAAGATTGTTAAAAAAAAAAATTATGAAACTAAACAGCCTAAGTTAGACATGAAGTGGCAGCGCAAAAACAAAGATGTCCAAAAAATCGTTATCGTCTATTTTAACTCATACCTGTACCTGGAAATAATCATCTGAAAGGTCATGAAAGACGTACATTGGGCTAACAAACGTAACTAAAAATTACTTTCCTCTTCAGCCAGTGACGATGACTTCCAGATGCCGCGCCAGACTTTCTCTGGTAAGGAGATCCATCCCTTATTATTTACGTGATGCAATAAGTAGCCTGCTGTTCAACATTTGCATAAGTATTATACATACAGTAGGCAAAGATTCCAGGCAAATTTTCATTAGGTTTGTTCAGGCACAAATGACGGTGAGGTGTACTGTGATAAAGGCCTTTTGGAGGTGCTTAAGTTCTGTAGTCTACGAGCACTTTTGTTATTAAATTGTACAATAACTATTATAGGCAGTAATATAATTCTACAGTAAGGCAAATAATGTTACTATTCACAGATATCACATGCCACTTACAGTACATAGCAGTGAGTCTTCCCGGACCGTAAGATTTAATTCGTATAAGTATTAAATTATTAATGTGTTTATAGATAGTCACTGATCTCTACAGTCTACACACAATAGCTTGAATTAACCTAATATTATAGGAAACAAAAATTGGCCGACCATTAAATGAGACTTGTTCGAATTGATTCCCAAATTCTTGTTTCCGAGAGCTTATCAATTCTGGAAGGCTTAGAAGTCAACTGAACGATATATTGGTGCACCATGTTATTTTTCCACAGCTTATTTTATTTTACTTCCACTGCAAGTGCATTCGTTCATTTACTGATAGTGGCAAGTGTACAAAAAGTAATGTCGTGAGCCTGAAAAGCAGAACTTCACAACTTAGTGTATAACAGGCAAGAACGAGATCCTCTTCACCAGTATGAGCTTCCCATCTGTAGTAAGTCTTCGAACTGCTTGTCTACCCACCGTTGGCGTCGTAATATGTCATTTGGGTTTGATACAGTTTCGAAAAGGAGTTTAAAAGGATTTTTGTTGCAGGAGATGTGACACGATTTGTCTCCTTCAATGACCTTGGTATTCTCTGACACACTTCCGCTCCATATACTCATTTGTGTTAAAAAAATCAAAATTATTAAATTTTGAAACGAAATACATTTCAAACTTTACATTTTCATATTTACTATAGGTTTCCCCTTTTTGTATCATAACTTTGTGTAATTTGTACAGAAGTATAAAGGCTTAAATGATCAAGAATGATTCATGAACCCTCATGAAGTCCGAACTATAATTCATAATCCCGAACTTCATAAGATTCGAACATCTAGTTTTGAGGAACTTGAGGCGTTGAGCGCTTCAGTCATACTCTCAAACACGGGAGGTGAGGAAGTGCGGCCTCGTGTTTCCTTGACTTGCAATACGTATTTTACCTGTTGTGTCCAACTTTCTACTGACTGTACACCACACCAACTGTGCATCTTGTGCTGGAGTACTTGGCCATCTGTTGAAAGGATCGTCTGCAGCTGTGACTGTACGTAAGTGTTATGAGCAGGTTGTGATAGATGGTCAACAAGAATGCTGGTTAACATTTGGTGTTAAATCGCGGAACTTTATACAGTATTGATATTTAGGTAATTATTCGTTTTTCGCCCATTTCCTTTTTCTGCTGTTATGAGAAACTGTTTTTCTTGAGTATTTTGGTGTGTTTTAGTCAAATATCACCTTCAATTCCTGTGGAAATAAGCCTTTTTTTTTCTCTCTAACAAATCAGCCTAACCTGACCTAACTTTCTAGCCGGGAGACCCGTACCCCCCGCCATGTTAAACAGATATCTGATACTGATGAAAGCAACTTTGTTGAACCGTTATGGTGTATATTTACTGTACATATATCTATTTATTTTTTTCGTGGACGTGACAACACGCTGGGACCGAGCGGGTCGGTTGTAACAAATAGGGCAGACGACAACATGCGCCATCAACAGCAGATACCTAATATTTGTGGGTAAATATATTAAAAACTAAGCCTTTGTACAAGAAACGTTACTCATATAAATCGATTCATAATTAAAAATATAACATTTAGGGTAGTCAGAAACACTAGAAGAGGAATTGGTGAAAGACCAATATTTATATGGGGAGATAAGGCAAAAAATGTTTTATTACATTTACATCACAAATTTATATTTTTCGAGATATTTTGAGTTTTCGATTTCACTTGAGCAGGTACAGGTTCGTGGGAGACATTGTTTACATCTTACTCAAGTGACTTTGCTCCGTCATCAGCAGAAGTCACTGTCACATGATAATCTAGCGCATGGGTCGACCTTTGAATTTGAATAGGTTAATGACAAGATGGCTTCTCTGTGAAGGGTGTTATTTTTTTTGGCAATTTTGACAATTTAACTACAGTGTTCTAAAATTGGTGCAGGCTGCCATTATCGTGAGGTATTTCATGAAATGGCGCCATTTCGCCAAGACAAAAGTAAGGTAAAGTTAGGTTAGGGCAGATATTTTGCATATTTTTACTCCACAATATGGTAATACAGGAGCAGATTGCGGTTAACATTTAGTAGTTCCAACTGTAAAGGGGGGTGGGTTTCTCTCAACTCAAGCTGCCCCCTTGAGTTACTTATACTTCTCTTGACTTAGTTCCTTCAATGCTTCTGTCTACGTACTGCAGTTCATAATTACTACATAACCTCAGTTCCTTGGTAGCATGGCGAGGGTCTAGGGCACATGGGTATTGTAATTCTGATATCAAGTCACTTGGACGGAAATAAAGGTGAACTACTGCGGGAAAATGAATACCCCTAATGTACTCTAAGAAAAGGTTTATTAATATGAAGTCAAAGTAGGGAAAAAGATATCATTAACATACAACTCCAAGATGCAACTCCTCGGTTTTACTCAACTGCAAATTACTCAGATACTGTACGTTACTACACACAACCTTACTGGTGTTACATTACATTACAGATACCAGGACCAACTCTGTGGCTTTACTTACATTACATATAGACACCTGACAACTCCTTGGCTTTACTCACATGCCATTCCAAGTGGGTACTCTGACTTCTCCCACATTACTGGTAATACATTACATTAACAGTTACCAGGATCAACTCCGTGGCTTTACTCATATTACAACTCCAATCAGATACTTTACTTCTCACCCCTTACTGGTGGTACATGGCAATACAGTACATTACCAGACAAACTTACATCTGATACCTTCACACTGTTGTTAGTACATATGAGATGCACTCACAACACACAACACGTTAATACTGAAACCAACAACTTATACATGGGTTCAGAATTATCCCCAAACATATACAACAGACACTGAGGGCCATATAACTTCAAGGCATGTCCCAGGGTATAACACTGGCGCCTCTAACAACTGACGACCGCTGTTGTAGTCGGTTGTAGTCCTACACATGGCGAGCGTCTGGGGTCTAAGGCCCATGAGGCCACTACCGCTAACTGATAGGTAGCCACCGACTCCGGGGCAGTTGGTGGGATGTTCCAGAGCCCACACATTTGATCTGGGAACAACGGGAGAGGGAAGGCGTCACGGGAAAGCATGAACTCAAACACAAACAACATCTCTCGTCTAGCAACGTCATTTACTTTATATTACTTCTTACACTGGGTGAATGACAAGTCCACTGTTACAAAATGAACACTGATATTCACACAATTGACTAAATAAAACTGAATGGCTACATCAGCCGGGGAACACATGCTACATACCTAGGAACAACGGGAGAGGGAAGGCGTCACGGGAAGCTTTCTACTTCCCGCACGGGGTTTATATACTCGCGAGTTGCCAGACGTGGCTATCTCACGCAATGACAGAAATCACAAACAAACCAACTGTTACTCATTCAAAGATGACCCTCAGTTGACAAAGGTCTGGCGTATTACTAAAGTTGATTACATAAACTAATCCAAGATTGAGCTTGCCAGGAGAAAGTGGAACAAAAACGTATTGACAACTGTCTTCGAAGGCGGGACTTACTGTGAGGGATCCTGGTGTAAACATCGAGGGGGAAAAACGCGTTTCCTCTTAGGGATAGCTAACAAGCTACCCATTCATGTTTTGCGGGCATGGAGTATAATAAGAATCCTCAGTTTAAAAACAGACCAACCGTCAATGTGACCATGACACAACACCTACTTATTTATTGAGTCTTGTATGGGGAGGTAGATGGAAAAACTAAAAATAATTTATTCAATGGACGTCTCCGTCGCAAATTTATATATTTGAGGTAATAATGGAAGCCCCTCGAAATCGAGGATGGCTGGACCAAGGGCCTCCTAGGCGTGA